GACAGCCCACTTATAAAATAAACACACAGATGCTTATATTATTAAAACTGTTTGGCCTAATGGCTCAGGCTTCTAGCTATCTAATTCTTGCATCTTAAATTAATCCATTTCTATAAATCTATACCTTGCCACTTGGCTCTTGGCTTACTGGTGTCTTCACAGTCTGCTTGTCATGGTGGTGGCTGGCAGTGTCTCCCTCCACCTTCCTGTTCTCTCAATTCTACTCTCTATTAGTCCCACCTATACTTCCTGCCTGGCAACTGGCCAATCAGAGTTTTATTTATTGACCAATCAGAGCAATTTGACATACAGACCATCCCACAGACCTGTACAGTCAGGATACCCTTCTCTGCTGAGCTTTCCTAGCAGTTCCAGGCCTGAATCTTCCGAGCAGTCAGAATAATTTCCCTTCCAGTACTGAGCTGTCTCATCGCAGCTCCAGGTATCCAGGATACCTCGCCCTCCAGGGCTGAGCTGTCTCATCACAGCTCCAGCTGTCAGAGCTGTCTTAGCAGCTCAAAGTGTAGCCTGACTTCCAAAGTAGTCAGGATACCCTTCCCAGAGTTGCAAAACTCACATTTTGGTGTAGAAACCCAGGACCAAACCCACCGAGTAGCAACAGTGACTTACAGACACCACTGCAGATGCCTGCAAGTCACCTTGTGGTTCTGGGAATTGAACTCAAGACCTCTTGAGCAGCCTGTGCTGTCATCCTCTGAACCACTTCTTAGCCACCTGATTTTTTAAGCCTACTGGTTGCATGAAAGGGAAAATATTAAACTAGCTAGCATTCTTGAGCACTAGATGAGTAGACATTTCATCCCTTTGATGCCATTACCTAGACATGAATAGCCATGAATGGTTTTTCTCCTATTTGGTTTGTAGCCATTCTCTGTAAACCCTGAGTGATGCGATTATATATTTCAAGAGACCCTAGACTATTAGAACTAGAGATACATCATGTTTTTAGGGAAAAAAATTTGCCTATTCTCTAAGTTTGGCAGAAAAATAACATCAAATGAGAAATAGCTGCTCCTGGTTGTAGACCAGCAACTTTGGATATCCAGGGTGGTTGGAGGTCTTCCTGCCTCCTGTAGTATACTGAGATCTATTCCAAGACTCTGTGTTGATGGGATACTGTCTCCTGTGCAGAAAAAAGATGATAGTGGTGGTCAGAGGAGCAAGAATATTGTTGAAGAGGGCAGAGTGAGGTGAACTGGATATCTCTTGTCACTAAATGAAGCTTCCAATACTGGCAATGGGTTACATTTAGTCAATTTGTTGGCCAAATGGGTCCAGTGGGACCCGAGACAAATCAAGGTATTGTAAGGCTATTGGTTGCTCTCCAAACTGAAAGGACAGTGCTATTCTTGAAGATGACACCAACACAACTCATTGAACATGGATCAGTCAAGCTTATGTCTCCCCAGATCCCTCACCACATATGGACTAGATTTCCTGGCACTGGAAGTTACCCTGCTCACT